GTCATGGAGGGAGTCACCCTCTTGAAGGTGTGTTGTATGTTTTTTTCATTTTTTGGTATATGACATCCAGGACTGATGAACCTATAGAAATAGCAAGCAGAATAAGGGTTTCAGGGAGAAGTGGGTGCTGTGGTGGTGGGTGGAGGCAGGGGAGGCAATATCAAGGAGTCCACATAGTAAAGGAATGTTTGGAAATGGATTGGGGTAGCAAATACACAATTCTGTTGGACATGATTGAAATATGGAATTATATGATATATGTATTAATTCCCAATTAATAATACATTTTTAAAAGAAAAAGAATGCATAGGAATCAGGAAAAAAAGAAGTTCCAAACATTATTTTCACATTGAAACAAATACAGAAAGATATTATGTAAAGACAGATACCACACAACATAGTTAGAGAGACAAATTCCAATACTCCAGATGTATTTCTTAGTGTAGGAGATCCCTTATTGCCATACTCCCAACCCCCTCCCCCGAGGTACCCACCCACACTCTTCAGGGAGTCACCTTCTTGATGACCTCCTTTGAGAGATGAGGAGTCAGGGTCTGGGGATGTTCTGGGACAGTGACAGTGCTGGGAGTGGAAATAAGGCAAATACGGCTAACTCTGGCCGTGCATGTGGAAGTCTGGCTCTGTCACTTAGAAGTGCTGACACTTGCTGTGCCTGGAGCGCACCCGCCTTGGTCCAGGGCTTCAGTTCTGGGTCCAGCACCCGCAGGTAGGGAAGCAAACGACTTCCATGCACCCTCGGGATTGTCTTTAGGGTGCTGTTTCATGTTTGATCACCCTCCCGGAGACCAGCCATCCAAGGTGATCAGTCTGTGCGGATTAGAATTATGAAGCCCACACTGAACTTGTCTTGCCTGTGGTGGCCAAGTGTGGGAAATTTTATCATCATCTTTTTGTATATGATGATCTTTTTTCATTACCTGAGCTAACCGCTTTCTGAGCGCAAACTGCAAGGCTTTTACTCTTTTTAATCCCCACTAGCAGTATTGAACACTTGTTTCATGAATCCATTTCCTTGGCTTCTTGATCCTCAATCAGAAGTACAAAGAAAGGCAGACCCTACAGTAAGTACCCACGTGCCCATTCAGCCGAGAACACAGACTAACTTTCACCCTGGTGCTCTTTAGCCATTTTTGCCTCAGCTTGATGGCTAGAAGGTATTTGGGGGCCATTTTTCTGGATAAGAGGTGAAGGAAATGGTGAAAAGCTATGACATTTTAGGAAAAGAACACTCTTTCAGAAAGACTAGTTTTTAAGAAAATACCCCCAAATAGTTTTCATGCTATGCAATGCCAGATTCTCTCTGTATTTTTTCACATGAAAAGAGAAACTGTAATCTCCACACATAAATGAATATGTAATGTCTTTTCATTGAGTTTTTGTAAAGTTCCAGGGAAATTCTTTGGAAAAAGACCCAAACTAATCAATAAAGAAAGAGCTTTGCTCCTATTGTAGATCTGATCCAAGTCTTGCTACCAAGTTTTCCACTGGTGTTCTATCCTAAGGAAATCCTACCTACAGCTCTCAGCTGTTACAAGTTGGGCTGCAATCCTCAAGGCAAGCAGTTCGAAACCAGCAGCTGCTCTGTGGGAGAACGACAGGGCTTTCTACTCCCGGAAAAAGTGAGAGTCTTGGGAGCTCACAGGGGCAGGTCTACCCTGTCCTGTAGGGTCACGATGAGTCCACATCGACTGGATGGCAGTGAGTTTGGTTTGGGGTGTTGGTTTGGTGAATCCGGAGTCCAATTGCTCATTTGGCCTTTGGCACATTCCTCTGACAAAAACTTTAGGATGGGGAGCAGGGTGTGTGTGTGTGTGTGTGTGTGTGTGTGTGTGTGTGTGTGTGTGTGCCACATGTATTCCTTTAAAGAAGTAGCCATGCTCCAGTTGGTGTGTCTGCTCTTTGACCTCAAGGTCACTCACCAGTGCTGCTGTGGCACAAGTACAAGTAGGTGGCTTTAAAGAACAGATGCTGACTTTGTCACTGTTCTGGAAACTAGAAGTTGCAATCAGGGTTTCAGTTGTGTCCATTCCTGTCTGGTCAGAAACCTCGAGTGTTCCTTGCCTTGTAGCCTGCATCCTTACATGCGTCTCTTTTCCCTTCTGGATCTCTTTGACTATTCGGGTCTTCTTAGATCTCAGGAGGGATTAGGTTTAGGGTCTCCCTTGGACTGTGATGACTGTGGTAACAAAGCAAAAGAAACTCCAGACAGGGTCCTAAGTCTAGCTGCAGGGGTTAGGAACGTCAGCACATATTGTTGGGCAATACAAGTCAACCTGCTGTTCTCACAGATGTAGAAGGCTTGATGGAAACAACAGCTTCAGTCGCTTTGGGTTTCCTTTCTCTTACTGATACTTTAAGCCAGGGGTGTCAAACCGGTGGCCCGCCAGGTATATTTTTGTGGCTCACGATGCTCTGAAATAAAATGGAGCAAGGGAATTGTGTGTACGGTATTGCCTCGGTCTCCCCTAAGCGCTATTTTCTTCATAACAATTTTTTCTATTTTCATTTTATTTCAGAGCATCGCGGGCCACAAAAAATTACCTCAGGGACCACATGGGGCCCGCAGGCCACCAGTTTGACACCCCTGCTTTAAGCCTATTGTATTCAGCGATGCAGGAGCCCCGGTGGCTACTGCTTAAGCATTGGGCTGCGGTCCTCAGGTCCGCAGTTCAAAACCACCAGTTGCTTCTGTGGAGGAAGACAGGGCCGTAGACGCCCATCAGCAGTTACAGCCTGGGAAACTCACAGGCACTTAGTTCTACCCTGTCCTGTGTGGTCGCCATTGAGTCAACATTGACGCAATGGCAGCGAGTTGGGCTTTCAGGTTTTCATTCCAGGGTATATGAAACTCCCTCTCTTCGCCAGGTCTATCCTGAGTCGGTAGACCACCTTCTGCATGGAGAAGAGACCTTATAGGATCCTCACATTATGCCCTCTGGAGCCTTGTAGCCCCCCTTCCTTCTCTTGTACCCCTGCCATCTTCCTTCTGCATATCTGTAAAGATCTCCCTCCTGATAACCAGTTTGACTTTCGGAGACAAGTGAGCAACCCACTTGATAAGGACAGGCTTAGGAAGCTGACGCCCTCACCCTCTACCAGGGCCAGAAAACAGCCAGGCTAAGCAACTGCACAGGAGACCCCTGGCAAAGGCGTACACCGGCATCAAACTCTTGTCTTCTCGGAGGAGTCAGCTGACGAGGCTCTCAGCCAATGCCAGATGAAGGGGAGTTTTATGACTGAGACACCTGGCAACCCTAAAATCGACTAAGCTTGTCAGTTCATTGCACGGCTGCTAAACTCCTGGCAAGAGAATCGTAGCGTTGGGTCTTTATAGCAGCCCAACAAATGCCGCAGACTGCGAAAGAGTCCCTTTGATAGCGTGCAGCAGCCGGTCAGTTAATGCGCAGTGTAGACCAGCCCCATTCACTTCGGTTTGGCACTGGAGTGTCCTCCTGGACTTTCAGCCAGCATTCTGAGAACTTACTGTGTTTTAGACTAAATAACAAAGCTGGGCTAGGAGTAACTTCAGGAGAGAGTGCACTGTTGGCCAGCATTCCTATCCTGTGTGTTCACAATGGTTCCCTGGAGTCCCTTCCTGGCAAAAGTCAGCAGGTTCAAAGCATCAACCCAATGCCCCGGCTTTGCCAACTTCACAGCTCCCTGGAGGCATGGACCCGATTAGGAATCTGGGTTTAAAGGCCCTCCTTTTCATCCGTTTCTGACTCAAGTTAACAAGGGTTTCATTAACCTCAGCAAATGGGTTAATTAAGTAGTCTTTTTCCCAGTTGCTCTCGCTACCATATCTGATTTTCGAATTAGAATCTCATGGCTACAGGTCCCCAACATCTGAAAGAATGGGCAGAAGCAGGTTGTAATGGAGACACGATCAATTTCCTCACAGCCTGTGGGCGTGCAGCTGCCGGTGTTCCCTGACCTGTCCCTGGAAAACTTGGCCTTATGTGTCCTGTGCTGTGTCTCAGGCAGTGCAGTTAATCTAGAAGAAAGATCGGTCTAGAATCAGGACTGCTTCCACATGTTACTTTAGCTCACAGTCGCTCTGCAAGACACTTCCTTCCTCCCCACATCTGCCCAACCTTCTCAGAACTGACTGCCGCTGTGTGTGTACCAAGTCTGGGGCTCACATTTTAAGGCCTGCAAAATGGAATTGAACATCGTATACATAATCCATGGCCACAGTCTTTGACATGCATATACATTCTGCAACACCAAACCCAACAGATTAAGTTCAGAGAGGTTCAAGAGGAAATCTAGGGGGTCTGGGTAGCTTTCCAAGGCCCACATAGACAAAGGCCTGCAGATGGAGGCTGGCCAGCCTTGTCTCTAGCGACATGTGGAGGTAAGGCTTATATTGGGTGACAGAATCAAAGGCGGCAAGGGGAGGTGTGTGACATAAAAAATGTCTATAAAATTTTGGGCCTGGGCCTCATTGGAAATTTATTATTTTTAATAAAAATATTCCTAGCTAGAACACAAACCCCCTTTCTTCTGTAACCCCAGTTTCCATGTACCCATATACGTACAAAGCTAAAATTCTCGGCCAAGTTCCTTTTGAACCCATGAATTCACTCTGGTTGTAGCTGTTCTTCTTATTCAATTACAAGGATGCTGTAAATCCTGTGGTTTCGTCTGGCTTTGTTGCGGCTGGTGTTTTTATAGTTGTTGCTTTTCTCAAATTTCCTGGAGGTGTATCTCCAATAGGGTGGTGATTTATATTTTGAATCCTGTATCAATAACTTTTTTGAGAACGAAGTAGTAATTAAAGGAAAAGGAGGAGAAAAAAACAAAACAGGCAGCTGTGGAGATACTAATCAGGCAATTAACTATGCTGTCATTCAATGCAGATAGATGCTACAAAGCCATTTTGTTGGTGGTATTCATGCCATCTGAGAAGCATTATGCTTAAGCAAGCTGAAACTCCATTTATCACACATTATTCTATGATAAGAATTGATCGTGCAATGCTTACCTGGCAGGGGAGCCACCATGATCCCGAAGATGGTTTTCCAGGGGTGAGGCTCACCCATTGCACTGCGGGTGTGCTGACCCCTGCGATTTCCCCAAATGCGGGAAACCTGACTGCATAATTTGTGATAGTGGGGGACTGCGTTCGCTCTCCCCTGTAAAAGAGAGAGAGAGAGAGAAAAGAATTGATCGTGCATGGTGAGTGTTCGTAGGCTCCAGGAGGAGCCCGGTAGCTTAGTGGTTACAACTTGGGCTGCGGTCCACATGGCAGGCAGTTCGATAAAGCTGGGGCCTGTGAACAGTTCCCGTCTCAGAACCCTGCAGGGGGCGACTGTGAGTCAGCATTGACTCCAGGGCAGTGTGCTGGCCTTGGGTCCTGGTAGGTTGTGTTGTCATGAAATCCGTAGAATTAATACCTCTGTCCTTTCCTTCTTTCCATCTTTTCCCCTCCTTCCCTCCTTCCATTTCTCTCTCTTGTGCACTCTCATTCTTTTTCTCTGGAAAAAGAGAACAGGATAAAACAGAAAAAAAAATAATTTGGATTTCATGTGTTTTAGGGGGCCAAATCAAGACCGAGTAATTGGGACCAATTAACTTAAGTGAAAATTTCTAAAGCTGTATTTCATTTGAGTGTTTCGCATTTTCAGGAGAAGGCTGCAATTATGTTGCTTGGAAAAATAATTGGTGGTTTGGAGCCTCGCAGATGTACCCTGCCCCTGTAAAGAGCCGTCTTTTGCTGAGAGCGAGAGGAAATGTGGTGATTCTTAGGACCCATTCCCCAAATTCCTTTTCTCCGGACTCTGTCTCTTACATCTGTTCTTTGGAAACCACAAGGGCTTTGCCCAGTTCGGCAGAGCTGCTCAGGGAGTGGGGTGGGGGAGCTGGAGTTGGATTTTCCATATTCATGCCCTCAAATAGACCCTCAGAGGTCCCCTGTGGGAGCCAAAGGGAAACTCAAGCCCAGTACAATAACATATGCTTCTGGGGTCTCCACAGCGCCTCAAATCTATTTTTAAAAGCAGGCTTTAGTAAATTATATATAACATATAGGACATTGTGAAGGCATGTGTACAAAACGATGAAATGGAATCACTTCGGGTTGTCATGTCACTCGGTTCCTTCTCTCTCCAAGCCAGGCCCGGAGTGAGTCCGCAGCCTCTCTGCCTTGTCTGGCCGGACTGCCCTCACAGGCTTCGGGCGCCAGCCGCCCCCCCAGCGGCGGACACGGGAGGGCCCCTGGAGACCACCACGTTGGTCTAACAGATGCCTGTCTGCATTCCTCTTCCTCGGCCGCCGAGAGCCCTGGATGCAGGGAAACCATCTTTGCCAGCCCACCCCCACATTGTCATCATCCCCAGGAAACCACAGGTCTGATGTTTGCACCCTCCAGGCTTGTTGACGTGCCTGTGGGGACAGTTGGAAAGGAGCTCTCTCAGTCACACTGGAGTATGGAGCAAAGCAAAAACGCACAATTAAAACCCCAACATTTAAAGGTGGGACTGAGGCCAGTTAAGTGTGCTGCCCGGCTGCCCAGTGTCCCTAGTAATGAAAGTGGGTGCCTCTCTCGGGCCTCTGCCGTGGCTGCATTTTTCTGGATGTCTGGCAGCTTCCCCTGCGGGTCAACCAGGAGGAGCTTTTTTTGCTGGCATAATTGGTTATGCATGCAAGGCTGCTAACTGCCACTTTGAAACCAGCAGCAGCTCCCCAGAAGAGAGACTACAAGAACTGCAATCTCAGACACCCAAAGGCGCAGTCGGGCCCTGTGCTATAGCGTCCCGCGGGTCAGAATCGACTGCCGGCCAGTGAGTTATTGTGGTGGTTTGGTTTTGAAGGCATTGCCAAATTGGACACGGTTGGAGGTTCAAACCCCCCAGCGAGGCCATGGAGAAAGACCAGGCTGTCTGTTCCTGTCTAGATTGACAGCCTTAGAAATCACTCTGTGCGGGAATCAACTCCTGGTTGTTCATTTGATTCTGCTCAATGGAAGGAGGCCTGGTGGTGACCCAGTGCCGAGCTTGGCTGCTGACAGAAAACTTGGTGAAGGAGAGCGATGGCAGTCGGCTTCAAATGAAGACTACAGCCTGGGAAAGCCTTGGGGGGAGTGCCCCCATATCCTAGAGTGTCACTGAGAGTCAGAATCAACCCTGTGCGGGAACAGGTTATATTAGATAGAAGCCCCTCCAAGCGCTCCATGAGTAACCAAGGGGTTCAAGATTGGAACTCACCCAGACGTGCCTCCAAAGAAAGGCCCGGCAATCTGCTCTCAAAAGCTCACAGCCTTGGGCACTCACGGAGCACTGTGCTACTCTAACACTCGTGGGATCATCACCAGCTGGAACTGGCAACCGCTCTGGTTGCTTTTCCCCTGAGGATGTTCCCCCAAATGGAAGCCTGCCAGGACGAGTTGGTGGGTTAGGGTGGGGTCTTACAAATCCTGCAAACCTAAAGCCGTGGAAGAGGAAGAGGGCACCTCTGTCCTCCGCTCTTGGTTTCAAAGAGCAAGGAAAGAACTGTGAGGAGGACGAGGAGCATCGTGGCCTGATGGGTAACGGAAGGAACCCAAGGGTGTCGAGTGACACATTCTTTCTGGAACACGCTCCCTCTGTCAGAAGTCATCACACGACCATGCCCCTGGGGACAAGAAGAAACCAGGTAGATGCAGCAGGCAGCGTTCCTGAGTGCAACACGGCTATCAACACGTGTCTGTTAGGCTCCAGCCGACAGAACGCGGGAAGGCAAGATCATGAAGTAAAAGGAACTGGGTGCATTTTGAAACCGAATGAAATACTCTGGGCGAAGGTCCAGATCAGATTCTTAAGCTTTTCCTTTTGGGCGAAGGCAGATGTGGGGAGGGGGCGTACATTTCATCACTATCGTCTTTTAAGGCATCCTTTATATCCAGCTTTTGGAAATGAAGAGTTGGCTTTCTGATGACAAATCTGCACTTCATCATCGAGACGGAACATGACATCCTGGGCTTGGATATTCTCCTGAGGAGCGGGCCCCTGGTTTGGATAGTGTGTGCAGAGTGGCGAGACAAAGACGGCAACGATTCCGTTTCAGGCGCGAGAGAGTAGATTCGTAAAGACCTCAGAGCCTACAACCTCAAGAGATGTGGCTTCTCTTCCAAGGGGTCTAAATCCCAGGGAACAACACTCTTTGTTGAACTAAAGTCGTTTCATGGTTCCATTGTCTTCAATTACAAGTCTAAGACTAGGATAGGTCACACATATAAGAAACATTTTAGCATGACTGCAAAAGTACTATTCATGTTTTTACAATGTTGGCTCAATATGTCAGAAGCATTGTGTTAGGAGCAAGTATGTCGAAAGCAAGTTTAAGAACCTAAATGATAGGCAAAGAGGAAGATTTAAGTATTGCACGCTACCATAATACTTTCAAAAATGACATCTTTAAAACCATCATAAAATCATATTTATCATCTAATGTCTGATACTGTCTTTTTTCCCTCTATAGCAAATGAAAGGAGTTGGCTACTCTAAGTCATAACTAAATTAGATTAAGATGCTTGGAGCTGGTTGGAGACTATGTCAGGCATACTTTTTGGTGTCGTTCATTTCAGACAGCTCTGTTCCTAACAGCTCCTGCTGTAAAGACTTGCACTGGTGCAGGACATTGGCGGTGCTGGTGAAGGGGGACCTCGGGACGGCAGGCCTCTCCGAATGCTCAGCCTACCAGCACCAAGACTTGACGAGGAGGGAGAACTGGAGCCCTTCTCGGTGATTGGACTTGGGTATTTTCCCACCAAATCTCCAGATAGTTGGGGCAACACTGAAGGGCAGAGATTGTCCCGTCTCTGGGACCAAAGTACAGAGAGAAAATGTGTGTTCCACTTTCTCTTTTCTCTCTTTGTTTTCTCTTGTTCCAGTGGGGACCACATCCGGGAGATGGAGATGGTAGAGGACAAAGGCAACCTGGATCCCTGAACGATTTCATGGAGCTGAGTCAGTCGCAGCTCTCTGCATCATGGGGACGGAAGGAAACAAGATACCTTTATTAGCCTAAGCCTCTGAAATCGAAGAGCTATTCCTTTTAGCAGTTACTTATCTTAACACGGCATCTTCATTTTGAATTTTTGTGACAACTAACTCACAAAAGGTTCTCTTTACTTAAAAACTGTGAACAAGACCGAGGCAATGTTGACTCTGATGAAAGGGATATTGCTTCTGAATCACAGGACAGAGTAGAAATATCCCTCTGGGCTTCTGAGACTGTAAATTTTTACCCGAGAAGAAAGCCTCACCTTTCTTCTGTGGAGTGGCTGGTCGTTTTGAACTGTTGATCTTTCCGTTAGCTCTCCAATGTGTAACCCATTACGTCAAGTGATACTCGGTGTAAAGAGGCCCCTTGAGTTGCAACAGTTAATGCTTCTGGCTCCAATGGGAAGGTTGGCGGTTCAAGTCCGCCCAGAGGCACCTTGGAAGAAAGACCTGGAGATTACTTTCCAATCTTTTGGAAATCCCGAGGAGCACAGTTTTACTCTGACTCCCGTGCGGTCACCATCCTTCAGAATCAGCGTGATGGCATTGTTTCTCTTCTGACTCATTGGAAAGCACAGCTGAGCGTTACAATAATTTCAACAGTTCGCCTGTAGTATGCCTAACTTAGTATGACATTCATGAGCAACCTAGGTGTGGCACAATCCAGAAACATGTATCAAAATAAGCCTTTGATTTCTCTCCCAGTGGACTGAAATGAGAATGACTAGCTTTCAATCTGTCCATGCACACGTGGGTGGGTGTGGTTTTCATTCCAGTTCAAAAAACCCTTCATCAAAGGCAAGACTCAACAGAAAGTTCACTTAGAATGTTTTCGGGGATTACTAGAGAAATGTTTCGCTGAGTTTGGACTTAGGACTTGAAATCCAAGGATATTTCTTCTTCTAGGAGGGCATCAAATACAGATCAGTTTGCTGCACAGTCAAGCCCTGCAGGACAAGCAGGACAAGAGGAACGTCATCCAAAGCAGGAATAAGGGACTTGCACCTCAGTCCTGAAAGCAACACCCTAGCACTACAGCCAGTTGGACTGAAACCAGATCACTCTTACATTTAAATCGATTTAATTGTGTGCCTGGGCCAGGCAGCTCCCAAGGCAAATATGCCTGATGCTTGAAAACTCCGTATTTAAATGAAACC